TTTTTTTTTTTTTTTTTTCCGAAAAACTTCCATGCGCCCATAAGGCATACAACAGTGACATCCGCCGAATTAACTTCCAAAGAGAAACAAAGCCCAAAGCCTCCATTGAAGTGGTCATAGAACTGCTACACCTTCAAAAGGAATGTGCAGAGTGTATGTATACTGGAACTGGAACCAAAACCATGTTATTCGGCGTGTCAGGCCAGGCTTTGTATGCCTCGTATCAAAACAAATCAATGAATCTTTGTACCCTGCCCAACTCCATGACAACGTGTTGAGGGATGGCCAGGTTCGGCCGATAATCAGCGCGATTTCCCAAGTCCAGTATTTTTTTGGAGTTGCCCGGCCCCAGCCTTCATCTCCAAGACAAAGCTGAAAGGCAAGACCAAGAACTAGACAAAATCAGCAAAGTCCCCACCAATCGTGCTAATTACAGTTTGGCCACATCGAGCAGAATCTCGCAATCTGGCAGAGACTTCCTGCATTGTACGCAGCCTTGCAGCTAGTGTGTGATAGTGACCATGGGTTCTGTAATACATTGCTCATTGCTCCAGCAGCTTTACAAGTGTGAGACTTTGGCAGATGTTTGCGTTCCAAAACCCAGCTCTACTAGACTAACGAAGCTAGACTAGACTAGACTAGACTCCCTGTCTGTATATCAGCTACTGCTACGGCTACCCGTTCGTTCGCCGCGCTTTTCACAAGATTTTTCCAGCCGCACTATTCAAGAAGGGCATTGCGCATACAGAAACTGGTGATTGGGAGGTTTTCTACCTTTGCAATCCTCATATTTGCTTGGTGATTCTCTAGCTGTGGCAATGAGACAAGCAACTAAGTTTGGTGCTTGGGGGCTGAGGAGCCTTTTTCGTGTCGGGTTCGAAGGCGCTGAACAAGCAGCCTGTGTTGGAAGCTGCTAAGAAAGCCGCCTACAAAACTACAAGTATGTATGACCTTCTTGAAAGGAGGTTCCCGTAAACACAAACTCAAGCCCTAAGGCACTAAGGCAGTTGACTGTCTCGTCAGCTATGACGAGATGGATGGAACAACCTGACAATTATTGGTTGATTCCAGGTTCAATTGCCAACGCTCACCATTGGGTCACCATGTAGACGATGCTACAGCAGCTAGCAGCAGCTAGCAGCAGCTAGCAGGTACACTTTTAGAAGGTGCCCCGAATACTGCGGTTACCAACGCCCCTGGTTTGTAGGAATGTGGGATTCCGTGCAACCACAACAAAATCCAGATTTCAGACAATTTGTTGAGTGTGCCTGTTGTGATTCCATTGTGATAGTGGTACGGTGGTACTGCAGTGATGCCGTTGCGTTGCTTTGTTTTTGCTACATGGGGGTTGATCTAAAAACCCTCCTCTATCGTTTCCTCTGGGCCGGTTTGTTTACTAAACCATTTACAACCTTGCAAAAACCCTGGCGCGCAGAAGGAGGCGGAAGCCCGGCCTTCCGCGTTGGTATTATACCAAACGTGAGGTACGAAGGTTTGATGAGATGAGATACCGCAAGTTTGTCAAACAGGACTCTGAAAGCTTATCAAAAAGCATCTTTTATCCATCTCCCAAGGCCATCAAACTTTGGGGCCCCACAAAGCAAAATGCAGTTTTTCAGGCGCCAAAAATGCATTTTGCGGTTCCTTTATCCATCCCCCAAGGCTATCAAATTAAGGGGCCCCGCAAAGCCAAAAGCGTTGAAAACCAATTTTCTGGTTTGGTTTCCAAAGAAGAATGTCTTCATCAGTAGATGCGGCCGAGCTGGCACTATTAGAGGGGAGGACAGCAATGGTATCATCAGACCTCACAACACTTGCACTTCCTCGGATCTTCCACGAATCTTCCGCCAGCCCGTCCTAGACGCCCTAGCATACTTGAAACTGGGCTTGGTTCATGCGTTTCAGGAGGCTGAAAACGCATTCGGCTTTGCATCTTTATTTGCTGGCCTTGGGGGATGGACAGAGAAAATGCAAAATGCATTTTGGGGGCCTGGGAAAATGCATTTTGCTTTGCGGGGCCCCTTAATTTGATGTCCGTGGGGGATGGATAAAGGAACCGCGACATGCATTTCTGGGGCCTGGAAAACTGCATTTTGCTTTGCGGGGCCCCAAAATTTGATGGCCTGGGGGGATGGACAAAGAAAAAGCAAAATACATGTTGGGGGCCTGGAACAAAGCATTTTGCTTTGTTGGGCCATTTGAGGGCCTTGGGGGATGCACAGAGAAAATTCAAAACGCATTTTTTCGTGCCTGGGAAAATGCATTTTGGTCTGTGGGGGCATGGTATGTGCAGCGCATTCCCAGGGGCTGAATGCTTCCTGGCAACGCCAGTGTCAAAAATGCATGGTGAGAGTGCCCCGAAACATTTTCAACTGGTTTTGTGCACTTTGGCCACCAATTGGGATCGCAGCAAAAACGTGCCCAAAAAATACATCATGTAAAAACCTAGCAAAAATCGTGGCGCGCGGAAGGTGGCGGAAGCCCGCGGGCAGAAGGGGTTAATTGTTTGGGGAGCCACGGTACCTTAATTTAGACCAACCCCCACATGCCGCGGAATTGCCGCTGGTGCTGCTGCTGCTGTTGCTACATTTTCACGAGTTTCACAGATCCTCATACATGTTCATGAGATTTTCGGAGAAATTCATGAACAATTGCAGAAGTTCAGTGCCTTTGGCAAAACGCGGAAGCTTCAGAAATTTCTTTGAGAAGCCAGAAACGCACGCATGGTGCTTCATCTTCCAGCAGAGCCCTGAAGTTCCACACATCTGTCACAAAATTGCCATAAACTTCCACAGTGTTTCCAAAAGAGTGGATATATGCATACAACATGGTGATAATTCAAGCTTTTGATGAAACATGATGAACAATGAGGAAAGTCAATAGATTCGGTTGAAAATCTGAGAATCCAGAAGTTCCACCATAATCATTAAAAGCCTGACTCTTCAGTTTTTCAAGATTTTCAGTTTTTCATAAATGTTCGAAAAACTATGAACAAAAGCTATGAGAATCGATGGTTTTCGTGAAAATGAGGAACACTGAGTGAATTTCCTTAAAAGTCAAGAATTGCTTGATTCTCATCAAGATCATGAAAGTCCATGATTTTTGATGACTTTTCCGGATTTTTATACATCATTATAAATCATCATTTTCATTATTTGTTCAAGTAATTATTTTTCCGCCGCATTTTTCATGACCTGATTTTACGTTTTCAATTTTTGGGAATATGTAAAATCATTCATTTGCCACCCTGCAGGGTTTGGACCTTGCCGATGCGGAAGAGCTGCAAAGAGCACAAGCCAGTGAGTTCTCTAATCTGGTTGGCAGATGACAGTGCGGTTTATGCGGACTTTCAGACTGCCAGGGAGAGTCGGCAATTCTGTTTCTGTTTAAAACTTCAACCTGGGCCCGGCCCGTTTAGGTGCGAACGGACTCTGCTAGGCTTCCAGCGAAAGCGCTTTGACTTCCTTGGGCCGGCAAGACTAGCCCGACCCACAACTACCCCTCAGCAAAAACTCTTCTGACTGCTAACTTGTTCAGAGTTAGTGCGCTGCGCTTCTATCAAATCCCGGAAAAAATGCCCTCAAGCACTGCATGTTTGAGGCGGTGTGGAGGAGAAGGAGCTCGAAGTGTGCCGGCTGAGGACTGTGATGCTTGGCTCAGCTGGAGAGAATCTTGTTGGCTTCGTGGGCATGGTCACACCAGCCAGTGCAAAGAGAGCGGATGTCGACTTCCCTTCACATGTGCGAGACATTGCGAGACTGTAGCCTCAGAAAGCACTTCACATTCAAAACACAACAGCATCATGATCTGTATGGGGTCCTTCTCAACTGAGGAACCTGGACCCATTGGGTATCGACTGGGCATCCTTCAGAATTCCACCACTACGGATTAACTGTCCTTTGGCACCAACTTGCAGCGGTGACGTAGCAGTGTTGGAAGGGCTGCAGTGCGCTACATGTCTGGTGTGGAAGGTGTTCCCGCGATATGAGCTGTGATTCAGTGATGTCGTGTGTGCGGGAGTCTGTCGTCTCGTGGGAACACCAGGGGCGAGTAAAGGGGGAATAGCGTTTACAATTCAGAGTTGGGACCTGTACTCCCCTCATGTGTAGGTCCCGCAGGTTTGTCGTGCGTCCTTAGCAAAGTTGCAAGAGCCTGCAAGAGCCTGATCTGCCTAGTTGTTGCATCGGGGCCAGGCTTCAGGCTGCTGGGAGTTTGTGTGTTCTCCACACAGATCCCCGCAGCTGACTCAGCCAACGGGTCAGTTCTTGCTGGCAAGCGGGCGCAGCATGCGCAGCATCCAGACAAGATGCAACAAGTCGGAATAAAACTTACACCATCTGCCAGTTACGTGCAGTGGCGGAGGTTCCATAATGACGCGAATTGGATGAATTGGTGCCTGGTTGAAGTTCTTGGTGTGCAAGTGAAAAAGTACATGAACACGAAGGGGTGCTTAGCAGGACGCCAAAGAAGAAAGCTGAAGCGCACAGCAAATCTTGTTTTGCTACGCAGAGAGGTCATGCAAGCGTGGAAGAGTCCATTGTTCGAAGTTTGGCTCTTGATACTCCTGCTCTTGCTCCTATGCTCGCTGCGGTTGGACGGTGTTGGATGTGCGGATGGCAAGGCACAGGAATGCACAGGACGTGCAATGAAACAAGACATGATATCCCCCTCACCCTCTACAAATGGCTTCACACCAGGCGGAAAGTTGCATAGACATGGAGGCTGGATGAAGCAAGGAAACAGAAGTTGAGAATGAGTTATGGGAAGGCTCTTCGTTGGAACCCCGCTCGTTGGCGTACGCTCAGTTCCAGTTGCTGGGCACCGCAGAAACCGGGCTCTTGATAGATAACTCCGTCTTTTTCGAGTGCTTCCCCCTACCCGTAAACACTCATCAGGCACCGGAAGATGGACATTCCTGTGTTTTTGCGTTTTGGATGAAATGTATTGAAATGTGGGACAAAGCCCATGCCTCGACCCTGACACTCGTACTTAGACGCGCATGTTTTAGTCGGAACGGAGGAACGGGATGACAGGAGGCAAATCAGGAAACGACGGCCCTTCTAGGGGACGAGGAATTGCATTCAAACTCGTATGGCGGTTTCCAACCCCTCACCTCATGGTGCTATCGGTTTTGGCCTGTCGGTTTTGGGATCTCTCCCTGCAGCCTGGACTGAAACCTTACCAAGAATTGTGATTGAAAGATTATGCCCCTAACAGGTCTATAGGGGAGGTCAACCTGGACGAATCAGTTGCAGGTGATTTGAGTGATGTGCGAGTGTTGCGTTTAAATGCTTTAAGTCCCGCATGATGTAATTACCACGTGCGCCAACGAAGGAGGCAAATCCAGCCAGCAGCCAGGAGGGATAGACACGTAACGTCTTTTTGGTTGCAAGTGATTGGCCGCCTTCTCTCAGAGCCTTGCCTTTCTAGTCGACTTTCGCCATCGAAGTACATGCTGCATTGATATTTGGATTCTTTGGGATGGAAGGCTTACTGGTTCACTTGGTTGCAGTTGGGTAGTGCTAGAAAAGAGTCTGTTATGGTCCGAAGTGCTTGCTTGGCCCTAGTCATCGTTGGACCAGAGCGGGTCAAAAATTCTGTGTTGGAATGGGATGGTCCTGGCAGAATTCGACTGCATTCTAGGAAGACTGGGCATTTGACACTTACATGCTCATCCAGAATTTCCAGATTTTTTGGGATTCAAGTCTTTCACATGTAGATGTGAAGGACACCTGGAAAAGCGCAGGCTGAAAGGGCAGGAAGGTTTAGGTCTTGGCAAGCGTTGCCGAGATCGACGACGGAAATCACCTTTTCATCAGGTAAACTCTCAGCCCTCTCAGGCTACTCGAGGTCTTCAGTCACTATGCGTGAGCTTGTTTTGTCTGAATATCTCCGCAGATGCAAGCGCTGCCAAGCTCCCTCCTAGTGCGTGCAGCGGCTAGTTATGACAAGTCATTGGAGCCTGGCTGTGTACGTATACGTGCCGTGTATCTTTCTTGTAGAAGCCGTTGACAACCAAAGGCCATGCGCATGCAGTCCAAATCCGGTTGAGGAGCGAGCCGTTGCCTAGAAAGTTATAGGAATCAGATCAAGGTATACACGAATCAGTGCGGGGAACCATCTCACGCATCTGATCACACACACACAGACACACTCCGCGGATCAGATCTAGGGGTGGCCGTGGTTCGCATCAGGGGGAGGCACGAATCAGATCAAGCAGGAAGCCAGATCAGAGCGCTATACATGGGGACACCGTGGATCGGGGGCTTAGGGTTCAGGGTTTAGGTGTTGGGTTGAAGATTTCGGGCTTTTGGTTGAATCGCTTCCCCCTGATATTTAACGACTTGCTCGCCCTCCCTCCCGCCCCCCCCTCACCCCCTCCCCGTCCTTCCCACCCACCTTGCCCCCCCACCCCCCTAACATCAAAATGTTCCGGTGCCCGAAAAATTGTTTAATAAGGGTGGTAATTTATTGAATGAAGCAGACAGGGCTGCCTTTTAAGAACTGTTTAAATTCCGTGAGAAATCAACAATTGATGCAGTAAATCAAATAATTCATGCATTTCTGGTAACTGGCGATTCAATATCTAATCAATTGAGTTTGTTAATTGTACAATTCATAATTCCAGAACCCCCCTAATTCATTATTAGATGGCCTCTTTCAAAGTAGTCTTGCCTTTTTCCGAGGGCTCTTCGGGTTTTTAGGCAACTGAATTTATTCTTTACATTGGGGGGTGGTAAAATTAAAGTTAGAGGGACGGGACGATGTTTAACGTTTGGGGTCCAGGGCTTGAAGGTTCATGGTCAGGGTTTTATGGTCCGGGGTTGAGGGTTTCAGGGTCTAGGTTTGGGGTTTTGGATTTCGGGCCGAGGGTTTAGGTTTGTAGGCTTCAGGGTTTCGGGCTTTCGGGTTTATGGCCTAGGGTTGACGGTTTAGATTGTTAGCCGGTAGGCTTCAGGATTGAAGGTTTATGGCCTGGGGTTTAGGCTTGAGGGTTTGGGGTTTAGGGATTATGGACAAGCGTGGGTACAGCTTAATCAGGACTGGGTGGGAATTTAGGATTTGAGGGGTTAGGGTACGGTTGGGTGTGTACGGTTTTGGGCTGTAGACTTCTGGTTCGTGTAACTTTCTGGTGCTAGGGCTTTAGGGTTTTAGGGTTTGTTCGGGTTAAGCGCTTTCTCGCTGAGGGTTTAGGGTCTGCGCTTGGGGCTTTTGGTCTAGGGGTTCAGGGTTTATGGTTGAGGGTTGTAGGCTGTAGGCTTCGAGGTATCCGCTTTGGGGCTCCCTGGAGATTCCCGATCCGATCCAGCCTCTTGTGCGCGATGCTATTCACCCCGCCCCCGATCTGAGTCGTAGGAGCCCCGTTCGGGTTCGTGACCTTCCCATCCGACCACGCCGATCTGATTCGCGCCCATCCCGATCCGATTCACTCGATCAGGTTTGTGCCACAACCCTGTTGCCTATCAAACGGAGTAGTCTTAAGTATTCTTACACGGACGCAGCTGACTTCAAAAGTCATCCTGCTAGAGATCGCGCGAAGAAGCTGCTTCAGCAACCTGCCATAAGTCCAAGGGATTGATCCTGCCAAGTCGCTACTTGCACGCTCGCCCTCTGCCGCAAAGGCTCTACACGACAGTCATGGCCCAACGCTTCCTCACCTGAATATGCCTTAGATGTATACGGGTCGGTGCCTACCGACGTGGCGCTCAAGGAATGTAGCGCTGTGCCATGCTGCCAAGCAGTGTACAGTTGAGGCGAAAGCACCTCTTGCAACATGTCAGCTCTGAGAAACAAAGCTGCTCTGCCGCTTGATCGGGCCCACGGACGTCTAAGAAGCTGTTTCTTGTCTCATCCTTTGATGATGCTGTCTAAGGCTGTCGTGGCCGCTTGGCTACATGGACAAGCTGGGCGCAGGTACAGCAGCCGAACCTTTTCAGCAGTGACAGCTGCAGCCCTTCCACCTGTTGACATGCATGCGTGTAGCCGCTGTGGCCCAATGGCTGCGCCTTGGGCACCTTACCCATGCCATTGTCTACTGACCGACCGCCCGCGCGGCCCTGGGGCCGCCTCGTGAATGAGGCCCATCGTGAGGCAGTCTCAGTGCTAGATTAAACTGTCCGAGATGCTTGTGGGCATACGTGGACATGCTCAGGGTTCTGGTCCTACTTCTTCTGGCAGCAGGCGATCTGAGCAGTCTGCCTCACTTGAAGACTACGGACTGCCAGCCTGCGCCTTCAGCTTACGACTAACGCCAAGACCCGCATTCAACAACTGTCACACCAGTATTGAAGTTTGAGCTCTGAATTCGGCCCCAAACCCAAGTATTGAGACATGCCTGCAGAGCTTTGAGAAGCTTGCAAGGCAAACGCAAAACCCTGTAACATTCTGCAGTTTCTTCAGCGGCTTGGACTTCGCGTGACGTCTGTGAGCTTCCCGGAAAGGTTTCAGGCCCGCAGCAAATTCAAAGTTGAGAAGTGGATAGATGCACGATGCATTGGTTGCATACCCAGTTGATCTGGTCTGGCACTTTGCACACGCAATTGACTTGCCCTGGCGCGAGTGTCCAGGCAGCATAAAGCTGCTGCAGCTGCAGCGCCAAGCCCAATCACATGGTGTCGCTGCCAGCAAGCACTGCAAGATACTGCAAGCATCAGCGGCTGATATGTTTGCCAGTCAAATACTTGCTCACCCTGCCTACCCTTGAGCTTCTCTGCCGATCTTAGGTGTCCAGGCTTCTCCGCAAGCTGTTTTCGGTGGCGCGGGTTGTCCCTGCATTGGCCTGGACCGAATAAGCGGGAACTGCGTCGGCACTTCAGCTATGGCAGCTTCCGATGCTTCCACCAGTAACGACACGCGAATCGCCGTCCGACCAGCAATCGAAGCAGGCAATAATGTGCCAGCTGCATCCAAGGACTTCAAAGCCTCCGGGTGCCAACTCAGAGGTCTGGAGCTCTAAAGGACTGTGTTTTGGTTACAGCAGAAATCCTGATTTGCATTTCTCTACTCAGTCAGTTCCGGAGGCAAGCTACCCTGCTGACATCGGTGCTCACTGTGATGTTTGGGACAACAAGCACCTTTGCGGCACTGCCAAGTCTGAGGCTCATGAACAAGTTTCCTGACCACAGGGGTATTTTGCAGCAGCACCAAATGAAATCCGCTGAGAAACGCTGAGTCAGGAAGTGGGATAGAATTTTGGTGTTCTGGGCGGGAATGTGTCAGGGATCACTTATTGATTTTTTTCTTCGGATTTGGCTTATGAGTAGATTGAGAGGGCCGGCTATTCATAACTTTGCGAGTGGCCCAGAATGCTTGATATGTGAAACACCTGAGGGAAAGTGTAAAAAAATGATTGAGGTTGCGCCATGGGGCCTGAAACGCGCAATCAGACAGTCAGACACTCAGACTTTCGCGTCTGACTGGCTGACTGTCTGCCCGACGGGTCTGACTGTCTGACTGTCTGATTGTCTGACAAGTGTAACACAAGATCGAGTGAAGTCGGAACTGTTGTACGGAAAGTTTTGGCGTTCCAGACCCCTCTCAAAACAAGAAATGTCAATGTGGAATTTGGTAGCACAAAATTCCGCAGCTTCCCACACTTGTTCAAGGCATTGGTGTCTTTTTCTGAGGAGTTATGTGCACGTGTTTTTTGAAAGCCTCTTTGGCACTTTTTGGATTTCCCTCACCCCCTCATAACTTGGAAGGCGTAGAATTGAGCCATGAAAACTGCTGTCAGCTGGTGCCTTGGCAAAGTGTGCAGGGCAATGTCATACCTAATTGCACACTTTTCCAAGCGTTTGTGGTTTTTGGAGGAATCTGGGGACACCGTTTGTATTTCGCGCACTGTTACCCTTTTCCACCACATTCTGAAATTTCAGGCCAGGGCACCAAGGAGTGCACAAATGAGGGGTTCCGCTAGGCCAAGAGACGTCTCCAAAACCACCAGGAACTTGGGCAAGTTTGGAATTTGGTATGGACATCCAGACGTTTTCTGGGCATCAGTGGTTTTTCCAAGCCCATTCCAGGCTTTGGGAGGAGTCTGGGGGCCTGGAGGACTTCCATGTAGACTTTTTCCAAAACATGTGTTTTGATTACGCGCTTTTTCACATGTTTGGCATTTTTTCTCTTTAATAACAATATTCCACACCTGGTGCAAACTTTTCAGGCTTCATTCTCGCCTCCTTTGCGTTTTTTCTGGACCCTTAGTCACATTTCATACTTTCCGGTCCAGTTTTTTTTTGTGGTTTGGGGTTCCAGCGCCTGACATTTCTGCAACTGAGCCCTACCTTTTGCGCATTCCTTCAAAACTGTGATGTAAATGAATTTGCTGCAACTGTGAATTCGTGAATCCAAGGTCATGCCGGGAGGCGAAGCTGCAGCAAAGGGATGATTTTGATCTCAAGCAGTTGTGCAGGATACCGCGCCACTTGACTAGGATCCTTCCTGCCAGGACTCATGCCAGAAGATGTGGTGCTTTGTGAACCCATGCAACTGCTTCCCGGCTTTGGAATCTGGAATGGAGGGTCTCTTCCTAAAAGTCCAAGCGGATTACTGTTCAGCCCGGCATAAGACTGCCTAGATTTCGTCTTGTCGAGGCAACATGTCTTCGCATGAGCACCCGCTATGGCAGGGACTTGCATGGCAAGGATGCTTGACTGCACTCTTGAGGAGCTTGCCTGGTGCAGCCAGGTATCGAGCATAAGCTAGCAGATAACAGCAGCCAGCATTTTCTTGCTGTAGTGACACTTTTCCCAGGCCACCCTGTCTATGCATCCGCGGCCACCTGCAACAACCAAAGCAGCGAAGGCCCAATTGCATCGCACTTGCTAAAGATCATGTTGGTTGTGCCAGGAAAGCAACCCTCAGTCTGTGAAGCAGTACACAAAGAGGACCTTGAGCGTCACTCTGAATGCATTGTTGTCACCGTTCATGTCCAATGCGCATGGAGGAAGTGATGGGCAAGCCAAAATGCAAATGCATCGGACTCTCTGGCCTCCGCGGCAGCCTCTACATCAACATTTCGCGCCAGTTGTGACCCAGCAAGAAACACATCGCCCAAAAGAGTAGAGATTTGCCCAGCTTTATTTGGCAAGTAATGCTCGACGTTGATCCGAAGATACTGGGTCATCTGCATGCCTGGGCAAGGTCTGAATTCCCAGCAGACCTGGGTTCGAGCTGCCAAGCCTGGGATAATGAACGACACCCAGACTGTCAGGGCGAAAACCAGCCTGGCTGGCGGTTGCCCTACAAAGCTCCATGAGAACATGCTTGTTGCCTGGCCTCCAAGTAGGCCTGCTAAGCGTGAAGATGTTGTGCCAGGTGCAGCCGACAGTGGTGCTATGTTGATCCCTGCTCCTGCAGTGTTGAGGAGCCCCCCAAGGCTCCCTGACACTGGAGCTTTCTTGCAGTTTGCATGCTGTGTGTCTCTGTGAGCGTGTGTGTGAGGTGTCAGCATACTTCCCACGGGCGACTTATGGCAATCGGCCCCTGTACTACTCTTACGACGCCTGTCCCTGTCGACAAGAGTCATGATGTCGATATGTCACAACAGCATGCTGAGGTTCTTGAGGGTCTAACGAGCCATTGAGCCAGAGATGAGGAGACGTGCAATTCTCCGGACACCTTCACCTTCGATTCTCACTCCGCTTGCGTGAATCAGGCCGCTGCCGTTGCTTTGCATGTACTGCGTCCCACGGAAGCTAGAGCAAGGAGACAGAAGCCAAATGTTTGGCACTGGGTGGTGATCCAGACGACCCGGAGATTCGGAAATGCGTTGAACGCTTACAGAATCCCCGCAATCGCACCTTTTGCATGGCCTTGGCCTAAGGCTTGGGGTGGTCCAGAGAATCTTGGTTGCGACAGATTTCCTGGGTTTCCCGATCTTTTGCAACGACAATGTGCCAAGGCTCAAGTGCTTGGGCAAGGAGCTTCTGCATGTTTGCCGACTTAGTGGCATCTTGGAAAGCCATTCATGCAGTGTCTGCAGTGCAGCTGTGTGTGGCTGTGTGCATGAGGGCTGACCAGCAGTGGCTGTCTAGCATGTTGCCACAGTTGTAAGCTATTGTTCAAATCGCTGTTGCCGAGTGCCAAGATGAGACGCTCAGCCACTGGTCTTGGTGGTCCTTCAACCGTGGCTCCCTGGGTGATGCCAGGCGAGCAGGATCCAGCAACGAAGTTGCAAAAACAAATTCAATGTCTTTTCAGTGTCCTCTGCTTCTTTCATTTTCTTCGGCACCTCGGCCTGCGTAAAGCTCGTGATGTCTCGAATCCGTGTTCAGCCTTGCTGTGAACGCAGGCAGGCCGCACAGCATCCAAAGACATCCTAAGTCCCGATAAACCTCTACTGTCTATGATAGTGTCACCTGGGGACGACGCATTTACCGCATAGCTTGGTCCAAAAAGCTTCTTCGAGTCGGCGGTCGGCAAGCCGGTTGCTTCTCCAGCATTACTGCCCAGCGCTCCACCCGCCCCTTTGAGGCAGGTTGGGCATGGAGTACGCCGACCCCAGAATCGTTCAGACCTGATCTGTGAGTGTCAGGTCTGCCCAGGTTTGGAGATTGTAGGATCTTGTCAAGATCTGGCGTATGGTACCATGTATGCCAAGACAGCATCAAGAGTCCGGCAACTTTGCACGACTTTGCAGATGGGCCACACTTCATCCCAGAACATCCCAGAACCAAGCATGAACCAAGCATGAATAAACCGCTACCGGGGAAATCATGCAGCTGCCACACGGAGACACTTTCTTCACAAGCGGGTGGGTGCCCAGAGTAGCCACATGTACCCACCAACAAACACTGTGAGCCAGCTCTCCCTGGCTAAGTTTAGTGGACTCTTGAAGCCCTCGCTTCTTGGCGTGACCTACTCGGCACGCTCTATTGCTTGAGTGCTCATCTGCTTGGGCAGGTCGTCAAAACTTGCTCTCACCGTGCCTGGGCCATCCACAGTCTAGCGAGAAACATGGCCAAGGCAGATTGTTGTTCATCAAAGAGTATTGAAGGGGTAAGGCAGCAGGCTTTTCAGTACAGGCCTAGTGGATGTGGATGTACGGCAGAAATGATGTGCATCCAAGGTGACTGCCAGTGTTTACGTGCTTCTTGCGGGGCTTTTTGTCTGTGTTACACGAGGGCTTGTGACTTGAGTCGCAGTGTCACTGATACTACGACAAGTCCTTCTTCCTGGGCCGAAAGCCATGGGTTCATGAAGGCACTTGTTCGAGTGAGCGAGTCGTCAGCAAAGCCTTCTCAGAGGCAAGCGCGCCGACTGAACTGCAAGAAAAATGGGAAGCGTTTCGCGCCAGGACAATTCCACGTTCTGCTGTAGAACATTTCCACCGCCAGGCCAGCGAACTTCGCGCTGCTCCCACCTCCAAGGTCAAAGCAGTTGGTGTGAAGCTAAAGCGGAAAAAAGCGAAAAGAGACGTCAGAACAAGAGCAACACAAGCTTTTTGCCTTTCAGTAAAAAGGCCAGAACACCATCCACCTCATCTGACAGATGGCAGCAGTCGCGACCCCTTGGACATGCGAGAAATGCCTCACAAGTGCGTGCTCCCAAGAGGTCGTCTTCCCTCAGCATGCTGCAAGAGCCTGTGGAACGGCCGTTGAACAGGCTCTGAATCGGAGGTTTGGGTTTGACGAAAACAATTTTCAAGCCAAGCTTCGAGGTATCTATACAAGCAGGATGGCTACTACAACCGAGCCTTGGCTGACAAATGCTGACAAGCTCGCGGATAGCTCGCGGATAGCTCGTTCACTTCCTCAGCTCTCAAAATTGTCTTCAGGAATAGTGCCAGATTGGAACTTGCAGATCAAGACGCTGGAGCAACAGTGCCCCAATTCGCATGCCGTGTTTGCCTTCGCATCATGACTCCTGAAGGTACTTGTACGAAGGCCCACGAGACAGTTTTAAGGATTGTTGATTTCGAGTTGCCGAAGCTGTGGTTTTGGCGTAGTCGGGGTTCTAGTATTAGTCGGCCTGGCTTCCCTGGCTGGTTTGGTTGCAGGTGACTTCTCATTGTTGATCAAGGAGCTCACCGACGAAGGCTCCATTGTACAGGACCCAACTCTCTCTTGAAAAGCAATGGATCCAGAAGTTATTGAATCTTAAATCATGATTTAAAAGTTGTCCTTGGGTACCTTGATCAACCTACCTTTGGGGCAATTAAATCAGGATTTAAGATATCTGGTGTGTTAGGGAAACAGAATTCTTTAAAATCCTGTTTTCATTGTCCTACTATCCACGAGATAGCCAGAGGCCCCTAGCCACAATTAAATC